ACTATTGGTTTTGTCTTTAAATAAAGATTCCAGTTTCAAAGTGCATTTAATTTTTAGTTTTCACAGTAATTACAGTCTATGTAATTTTTGAAATTGTTGATAATAATTTATGTGAAGGTGGATATTTTTTTTCTGTTTGATACATTTACGTGATAGCCCTGTCTAAATGCAGAAATTCAACCTTAATTATAACATCATCCGCTTACTATTTATATCCTTATAGTTGATCGTAGACCAGTGAAGACACTTAGTCAACCGACACCAACACTACACAGGAAATCATCCACTCCAACACGAACTGAAGATACTGCAGTGCGTTCCAGTGACAAATCTGATACTTCGACAACGAAAAATCAATCACACATTGATGACAGTGGTCATGTCACAAATCATCAACACAAAGTGGATACAAAACCACATATTGCTATTATCGTTACCAATAAACGTTCTGGATCTTCATTTTTTGGAGAGTTGTTTAATCAGAATCCAAATGCATTTTATTTATTTGAGCCACTGCAGTGTTTTACACTAATGGCTCTAAAGAACGAGATTCCCTCTAATGAGTTCAACTCTCTTTCAATTAAAACACTGAAGTATATTTCAACATGTGATCTCTACAATATTCCTTACTTAAATACTTGGTGGGAAGCGTTCAGAATTTTTTTCTGCTGGAGCAGTCCTTGGTCAAGTCTATGTAAAGACAATAAACCGAGGGAGGTATCCATAGAAACGGGACTTGACACGCTCGTTCAAATGTGTAATTTGTCTAAATTAGTTGCTATCAAAACTATTCGGTTAGCTGACATCGCCTCTTTACGCGAACTTGTTGAAATGTACAACATAAATGTGAAAGTGTTACATTTGGTCCGTGATCCCCGAGCTGTGATGAATTCAAGGTGGCACTTACATTCTCCAAACTATGACTTTCTTAGAAAGAAGGTCAAAGATGAAACAATTGACTTATGCCAGCACTCTGTACGGAATATAAAATACGTATCATCTCAACCTGATTGGCTTAGAGGGCGATATAAACTTGTTCGATTTGAAGACGTAGCAAGTTTTCCACATGAGTGCGCAAGACAAATTTATCAATTCTTGGGAGTAGAATATCCACTTGTATTAGATGGATGGATAAATGAAAATACTAACAATGATACAGCGAATCCATTCGCTACTAAAAAAGATTCTTCTCGCATCATTAATAAGTGGAGGAATGAGATGGACTTTGAGCAAGTGAAAAAGATACAAAGCAAATGTTCACTAGCAATGACGTCATTAGGATATAATTTAATGAATGAAAGTCAACTTGTGAATATCGACGATTATGAATCTTATCTTAGACCTGAAGAGTTATCTTTCACAAAGCTCCATGGCATTTTTGTCAAGATTAATAATTAAGTTTACAGTTTTATACCTTTTATTTTCAGGTACGACTTCAAATTGTAAAAGGGTATTAAAATTGTCAATAAAAAATATACCGAAACTTATATTATTATTAATAATATTTTATTGTATTTTATTATTGCTATAATTATTATCATCAATGTTATTATTATAAATGTTCCACAAATCAATTGAGGTATATTTAATTATATACTAGATAGTGTATTGTAATTTCTGTTCTGTTTTTTGTAATTATCAAATGAATTTTCTTGCAAAGATATCAATAATCGGAAAATACTGGACTTGGTATGTAAGGTCACTGCATTGTAATTATTTTCAGTCGTGTTAAAACATCAATAATCCCCGAAGCGATATAATGTCAATCTGCATTTAGTTTATAAACAATTGCATTTTTGTTTTAGTATGAAATAGTGTCGTCGTTTGATAGTGAGAGGTGTCACACTTCGATCAATCTCTAACCGATCAATTATGGCTTCGATACACAAAACCACAAAACGCCATATCATTATCCTGTTAAACTCTGTGCTGTATCAGGAAAATTTTATTAGCTAAGCTATCATTAACTGTTGGTAAGCATCATTACTGTTATTATTAGTATTAGTATTATAATGATCGTTATAATTATCAAGGACACCAGTATTGTTAATATTATTATTATTATTATTATTATTATTATTATTATTATTATTATTTAGAAGATGCGTCTCACTTATTATAACTAAATCTAACTGTTTTAATGCTAACTCCTTTAGCAAAGTAGATTCATATAAGCTGTGAAAGCTAGGCCTATGTTCACTTAACTGTGTAGGAAAAGAATTCCACTTTGTGTCAAGTTTACAGTGATCTTCGTGAGATTTATCGGGGAAACATTATTATAACAATTCCACACAGCAGAAATACACTTTTGTTGTTTTTTATATTTACTATTTACTGGTACTTTATTCTGCAGCATGAAAACACGTGTGTTGTTGCCTAAAGAAATAAAAAGGACCTCGTGTCTAAATGATGAATCAATTTTATGTTTATTATCATCAATTCAATTAATACAGCAATCATTCAATTTATTAGGAAATGATACCCTATCGGTGGTACACACAAAGATGGTACATCCAAATTGACAATCTCAACAAAATAAACTTAGACTATAAAACTTGGCATGAAGTAAAATGTTTAACACTGTCGCTAATCAATGTTGCTGAGAAATGGGGATATAGATTGGTTTAGAATAGAAAGTTGTGCTTTTAGACCAATATTGGGAACGACACTATGACCATTCCTGATGATGACAAAATTAATGTCGAAATATTGAATCCCGACACGATGGCGTGCATTTAGATACTTAGAGTATGTATTATACTACCGGTATCTTACCTGAGATTAATCAGTGGACGTTTTGACTACTACTACAACTACCACGTTATATTCCTATTTTTTACTTTATCCACCAAAACCACTACTACTATTACTACATCCCAATATCACTCTGCACCACTCTATTAAGAAATTAAAATTAATACCACATTAATTTATTCCTATTGTTTCGCTAATTCGTTGATTACTTGGTATTTTTATTTTGTTAAATAATGACCATTTTAATTTTACCATTTGATCTGTGTATCATTTGTTTAATGTAATAAATGCAAGTAGTCCTCATTTGTGTTTAATACTGATAATGACTCGATTACATTTCTCAACTGTATCTGACTAGGCCTATTCGTTTGACCATCATATAAGTTATTTATCTTTTAACACATGCCTACATATTGTTGATACCGCTCCGTAGGTATTGAATGGAACAAAGATATACGCAATGCATTCGGTCGTTAAACACATCATCTTACTTACTGCTGCCATAGTATTTACATCAAGTATAGTGTTGCAAGGTAAGAACTTTGTTGCATTATTACAATAGTCAGGCCAGCAGAAGAGATATCGGGTGCTGGATAAGTTTACTCTCTTAATCCTAATTTCCTGGGATTAATTCAAGCCAATATCAGGACTTATTATTGTCCCAATCTAAAACAGCTCTCTTAGAGATTCCAATTTTGGGAAGTTTGCAAAACCATGAGGCTTCTTATGAAAACTGCTATCCTAAAAAAGGAATACTCCCCAGAAAAATGTGCTACAACATCCTACTAGGTACTTATTTATGCTTCCGAGTGGAGAGATACAATAAAATGCTTTACACAAGTTTAATACACTGTAAGAAATTTGAACCAACCTCATTGTTGAGAGCCCGAACCGTATCTGCAGGGCCTACTAGGCTTACTGATCACTTCCACAAAATCACAGAAGTCTGCCAAATAAATCGTTGGTACTTACTGTAATATATAAGCCCTACTGAATATTTACTTTCATTAAGATTCAGGTTTTCTTACCATTAACCGCTTTATATCATTATAGTTGATCGTAGACCAGCGAAGATAATACTTCATCAACCGACACTAACAATACACATGAAGTCATCCACTAAAATACGAAATGAAGAGACTGCTAGGAGTTCTAGTGACGAATCTGATTCTTGGACAACGAACAATCAATCTCATATTATTAAAGACGGTGGTGATATTACAAGTTATCAAGACGCAGTGGATGAACAACCAAAAAATATTGTTATTATCGTGACCAATAAAAGATCTGGATCTTCATTTTTTGGAGAATTGTTTAATCAGAATCGAAATGTATTTTATGCATTTGAACCTCTTGTGTATTTTACACAAATGGCTCTAAAGCACCAGATTCCCGCTAATGTGTTCGACTATCTTTCAATTAAAACACTCAAGTATGTTTCAACGTGCGATCTCTACAACATTCCTTATTTAAATATGTGGTGGGAAACGTTCAGAAAGTTTCTCTGCAGGAGTACACATTGGTCAAGTCTATGTAAAGACAATAAACTGAGGAAGGTATCAATAGAAACGGCACTTGACACGATCGTTAAAATTTGTAATTTGTCTAAATTAGTTGCTGTAAAAACTATTCGGTTAGCTGACATTGCCTCTTTACGCGAATTTGTTGAAAAGTACAACATAAATGTGAAAGTGTTACATTTGGTCCGTGATCCCCGAGCTGTGATGAATTCAAGGTGGCACTTACATTCTCCAAATTATGACTTTCTTAGAAAGAAGGCAAAGGTCAAAGATGAAATAATTGACTTGTGCCAGCACTCTGTACGGAATATAAAATACGTATCATCTCAACCTGATTGGCTTAGAGGGCGATATAAACTTGTTCGATTCGAAGACGTAGCAAGTTTTCCACATGAGTGCGCAAGGCAAATTTATCAATTCTTGGGAGTAGAATATCCACTTGTATTGGATGGATGGATAAATGAAAATACTAACAAGGATACAGCGAATCCATATGATACTAAACGAAAGTCGGCTCGCATCATTAATAAGTGGAGGAATGAGATGGACTTCAACAAAGTGAACGAGATACAAAGAAAATGTCCACAAGCCATGACGTCATTAGGATATAATTTAATGAATGAAAGTCAACTTGTGAATGTAGACAATTGTGAATCTTATCTTAAACCTGATGAGTTACCTTTCACTAAGCTTCATGGCATTTTCTCAAGTCTGTCAATCAATCAATGAAATCAATCACGATAAACAATGTATCATTAGAGGCCTGCATGTATACCTTTTCTTTGTTTAAAGGGTATTGCAGGGGCTAAGGGGGGGGGGATTGCGGATCTCCTAAAAGGCACAAAAGTTCCGCTGTGTAGGCCTGCCAAGTACTAACAGCGGAAAATTTGCAGGGCAACAAGTAGAACTCGATTAGGCCAAAAAATGCACATATAACATATAATATGCCTAATCGTAAGACAAATAACTCATTTTTTTTTTATCCCAAATGTAGGCCTATATAAACACTAATTCGAAATAAATACAGTGTATTCTTTTCCTTCCTTACCGGTATTGTTTTAATGTGCCCTCGCACTCGTACGGCGGTCGTTTCTTTTCACTAATCGAATTCGCCCAAAATGCGATTTTTTTTAAATACACGAATGGGCAATATTTAACTTCGAAGTTCTTTATTTAATAAAAGTGGGATGCCCACACAAGACAAACAAAAACGTACAGTAAATCTTTACATTCATTTCTTCATTTCGGAAATGTATTTATAGAATAGCTTTAAAACATACAATTAAAAAAGACCAACAAAAGAAGATAAAATACACGATTGCCAATAGAAATACAGACGTCTCAATTTTCTTCTTAAACTTTGACGAAAAAGTTGGTTAATGAGATAAAAACCAGTTAATTAGATATATTTTTGATATACAGAACATATAGCAGACAGTACTGGGGAAATGTCAAAGCAACAGCCTAATGTGAATTACATGGGTTATTTTAAATGTTATGATTTTTAAAATACATTAAATGACGCCGACATTATAATTTTTAATTACTTTCATAATTCTGTGTAATCTTTTCAATAATACCAAGAACACATGCAACTATAATAATTAGAAAAGATTACAAACATTTTTGTTTGTTTTTGTTCTTTTGATGGAACGTTTTAAACTTTATTTAATAATTTGTTATATATATATATGTTATAATATAATAAAAATGAAACAATGTGTAACAAGAAAATAAATTACAGAGAAACAAATTATTATCTTAATTACAATATACTACGATTATTTCGTCAAATCACGATACAAAATCAGGAACTCAATTGTTCCTAAAAGAACATTAAAATACATCACGAAACGCTATAAACACCTTCGCGGCCTCCACCGCTCCTAGAGCCTGTCTCGGGGCCTTTGGCCCCTTCGTTTTGCCACCGATACTTTGTAGTTCCGCATTTACAATTTTCGCATTCCCCCCCCCCCCCCCCCCCAAACGATAGGAACGTCCTTACGGCCATGTATTAGAAATTGTCAATAAAACACATACCGATCTAATTTCAATTTGTTTTTCTAATATCGACTGCTGCTTTCTATTTAGGTAAAACGCATATCATGATTAATAATATTATTGTATTGTTACTATAATTATTATCAT